AGGCCAGCGGCCGGGGTGGGTCAGGCCTCGGTCAGGGGAGCAGGATGAAGCTTGCCAGCTAAGCAGATCTTGTTCTCGGTACAAAGAGAAAATAGTTTCGTTAAGACGCTTTGAACAATTTGGCACGTACTTCCTCTTCAGTCCTCTGAGAAGAGCTTTCCAGTACTACAGGGACCCGGCATCAGGCTGAACAAACACACCGGTTCTGGGCCTCACGCGGGGGCTGTGTGCAGGCGGAGTGATAAAAAGCGAGTGGAACTTTTTATCCGTTGCTCAGTTAAAAGAAACAAAGACAGTATTTTCAAGTGCTTAATAATAAAGTTTTCCTGATAGTTGATAACACTTCATGTGATGGGTAGAGCAAATAATTAGGTGGACATACAAAGATTTGAAATCCCCCTTTGTGTGACCCATCCGTGAGCACCATTGTTCTGTTCGTCATTTGTGCAAAAAATTAACTTACCGTCAATTACACCAGCATGGTACAATGTGGTACCACTGCTGCCTACACAGAACTGTGCTGACTGAAGATGTGGTCCATAAGATGAACGGCAAAAAGATACAGTAAAGTTTTGTATTACTTTGCTTATTAATGCAGTTTTTCAAAAAACTACTTGGAGAAGCCTTACATCGTGCATGTTGGTGAGAGCAGCAAGTCTGTGGTCTCGCATGCCTGCTCACTGACACATTCTGTAGGCTTAAGGATGGAGATAAAATACTTACGACTGAAAAGCAAGCACACCTGCACGTGTGGTGTAGCTCAGCTGAAAGCACGTACATCCGCATCATGCTTTTCTGACATGGCTATTCATAGACTATAGTGCAGAAATCATGAAGCAAGCACGTATGTAAAGATTACATTAAATGTTTATCTCTCCTTACATCTTATTAACTTTTATACCTGCTGACTTCTTTCAAAGTTTCTCTGCTTTTTCTGACAATAATATTAAGTTACAAACAGGAAGAAGTGACTGAGGAAACTGTGAGATGAGTTTAGCACAAGGAAATGCCACTTTGTCTCAACTGGAAATGATGGAACTTCATCAAAATCCACCATGAGTATCAGCGTTCACACCTTAGACAGGATGGCCCCACATGGAGATAAATTCCACATTAATTATTCCATATGGCCTTACAAAAAAAAAAAACATTTCTCGTAGGAGAACAGGATGTGGTATAAAATTAATATAGACATCCAAGAAGCACATTCTGGTGGTCTTGGTACCGATGCAGAAGCCAGTCGTTCCTGAGCTCTAGTCCAGGTTTTAAAACAACTAAGGGATCTTGGCTGGTTTTATGCAGTTCTCATCTCATCTTCAGAAATGCAGAGGACTCCTGACTTTCTACCATTCCTCTTGGAGTTAAGTAGTTTTCAGAGAATGAAAAATCCTACCAATGTTTCTCCTTTTGTGCTTCTTGCCTGCAAAGTGAAACTGGAAACTGCACTTGTGCTTTCCTTCAAAAAGTTTAGTGTTCTTGCTAAGGGACGATGAACATTTATTGCCTCTTAGTGAAGGAGAGAGTTAAAAACAAGAGAGCCAAGAACAAAACATAGAAACAAGATCGCTTGCCTACTTTTTGAGAAGCTAATTAACACCTACCAGTGAAGTATAATAAAAAAAAAATAATGCCATAAGCAGTAGAAGCAGACAAAATCACAGTCATGCAGCAGAGAAGACAACCAATAGCCAAGCTTGCACAGGGTCGCTTAATGAGTGCTTGCCTTCCAGGCCAGCAGCGAGATGCACTCAAAACCTGGGCTGCAACAGTAAAGGATGCATGAAGGAAGGAAGAGTAAAAGCTGTTTTCTGATGTCTGCCGACAGCAGTATCACCTTCCTAATTCGGGGAATCCCTCACCAGAGGCCAGAATGACTTCAGGTCAGACAGGTGTCCCCTAGGGCTACCTGGGCTTCCTTTCAACGTGTCTTGCGTCTCTTGCTGGTCCTCCCTGGTAGTCTCAGTTTTGCCGTTTTCCTTCCTCTTTTTCCTCCTTTCATTTCACTTTCCCCCATGAACTCGCCTACCCATTGACTTTGCTAAACCCTCCCTTGCTCTGGCCTCTCCCTCCAGCTGCCCCGCACAACCATCACGCTCCAGGTGTCTGCTTCATGCTGTCTCTCTTGGCGCAGGTCCCTGCCACTCCTGCCTGCTGCCGCCCTGCTCTCTCAAATTTGTCACCTCATTCTCTAATACTGTCATTCCACATCTCCAGCTGCCCAGACCACCTAAGTCTTGGGTAGTCCCTGGCCTCCTCCCTCCTCTCCCCTTCACGTTCCCAGCAGCTGGGGAGCCCTCCGAAACCTCCTAGGTACGCCATTCCCCATCTTCTGGCACAAGAGCATGGCTCTCGGCATGCTGCAGAGTGGGAAGGGCTATTCCTGCACTGAGGATGACGGCATTCCCTGGAGAGGACACTGGAATGGGCTCAGCGTCATCCAGCTCAGCAGGGGAAGCCAAATAGCTCAGTCCTGGGTCAGGTGTTAACCCAGCTGCATCCTTTCGCCCCAGCAGCCAGGCTTCGTCTCTACAGCAGGGTGCGTAAGGTCTTTCTCTGTTTTGCTTTTTTCCTTCCTCTTTGCCACTTCTTTCCTTAGCTTTCCTGTCCCTGGAAAGTCCAGGAGTGACAGGAAGCTAATGCTACCCATTTGTACTCACAGCTCTTCCCATGTGGCTGCTAAGGAAGCTTCTAATTTTGAGTGCTCATGCCCTACCAGACAGGACAATGGGCTCTGGGGATATTTATTTAACTATTACCTTGCTGGGAGACCTGGGATTAAGTGATGTCTCTCTGTCACAGTTTGCACTTTTTTTTTCTTTCTTTTGTAAACTGCTTTGCAATCTTCCTGGAAGGAACTATGTACCGAAATTCAGCCTCCGCTTGCCACGCTCTCAGTACCATTCTCGTTGCTTCACTTACGTTACCCCTTCCTTCCCCTCAGGGCCGTCCCCAGTTTCCTTAGATAGAAAGGTAGTTTACTCACCACATGTCTTTTGTGTTGCATGAGTCAACTTCTGATGTGTGAAGAAGGGGCAACCACGTAGGAAATGTGATCTTTAAAAAAAGGGGGGGATTCCCTCTGCAGTGCTTTCCACAAGAGAAAGCGTTGAGAATTGTGAGTGGGTCTGTTGAGAACGATCACAGTTTATAAGGCTTCAAAAGGAGAAAAGAGGGACAAAATTCAACCCTCACCAGACCTTTCCCCAGCCAGGACACACTCAGTGGCCATGGGTGCAGGCTGAGAGGGATCTGGGGGCTCTGGAGAGCACGAGGGCGTGCACTGTTGCCCTGTGATGCATTGACCACGAGTGTTATTTTCACTATAGCATCATGTTCCTCCTGCGTGGGGGTATGAACATCCATGTAAACTTGCAGTTACATAAATAGTACTGCATTTACTGTAGAAAACAGGCAGTGGGAGGTAAATCGGACTTCCCAGGAAATGCCTGTCTTCATTATCTGGGATGCAAAAAGGCCAGGACTAACTTGCAGAGCCAGAAATCAGTGGGGAGTCTCCATAGCCGCTGCTGGTGCTCTCTGCTGCTCTTCCTCGCCGTTTGAGTCCCTTGCTTTCTTGACCGACAAATTCAAACGGCCAGACTGTCAGGGACTGTGGAATTATTTGCTTTCCACAAGTGCAGGTTTCATGATTACAGGCCCGGGAGTGTCTGCCCTTTACAAGCTTGTATAATCTGATTTAAATGCCTCGTGCTTCACGTGGCAGATCTGCCATAGCACATTAACTGCTGGGGTAGTTCACCTTGGCAGCAGGTGAAATGCGGTTCATCTCTGATCTCGTGTTTGATGGTTTGGGTCATTTACAGATGTTAACAGAGCTAAATTTACACTGGACATGTTCTATAACAAAGTAGCTTTGTAATGGAGAGAGAAACACCCATAGGCTTTATTTTAGCTTGTCAGAGAAGACTAGAAACAGAAAAATATCTACACCTGATCTAGGAGGGGGTGTCTGTGGTAGATCAGCAGGATTTAAAATTTCCAGGAGCTTTGGAGCTCAGCAAGGTTGAAGAGCTCACACCTCAGCTTGAGCTCTGGATTTCCTGCAGGGAAATTTTGTTCTTTCTGAAATCATTTGTAGACCCAGTTTTCCAATACTTCTAATTAATAAGACACCAATATTCCTCTGTGGAACTGTTAAAGTCAGTATTTTTGGGTGAAATGACCATTTTTGCTCCCCTAATATGTGGGGCACATACAGTTGTTGGTGATTGATCCTTTATTTAGGCCAGCGTTTGCACCTCACCTCGAGTACTTCTGAGTCCTTCCACCACCCAGGAAAGGGAAGGAACATAGCTATTCAGAGTTTGCCTACCAAACCAAGAGCCTGAGCTCCATCTTTTTGTGTGCTACTTACCCTGATATTATGTCCAAAAGAATTACTTACATGTATAAAGATCCCATTCTCCTGCCAGTATCTGTCTCTCTCAAACAGAGATGGAATGACTTTTTTCATCAAAATGCCTGCATGCCTTCACTGTCCTTTCCCTTGCTTCCTCTGGTTCCACTCTGAATTCCCTCTCTCCTGCTGGTTGCCTCCAGAACCAGCCATGCTACTGGACTATTTGTCACCTTTGCAGTTTCAGAGGGCTACTGTGATCTGAACTTGGTTTCGAAGAACCAAATTGCACCTCAACACTTGAAGTATGAGACACTGCAAACGGGTGAAGAACTCTCCTTCTGCTCCTTTTGGCCATCAGCTGATGCCTTGAAGCATGAGGTATGATAACTTTGATA